GTCCTCTGGGAGTTATTTGTTCGTTATTTGGTTCGATTTGGGTGGAGCTTTCTTTCGTACATTGGGGTTTGGCTAGAGTTCCTTCTAAGTTCCTAACCTTTTCCTTTTCAGCCATTTCTTCTCCTATACTGGATACATATATCAATCTTCTTTTTTAAAAAATGAACCCCTCAAAATTCAAGTTAGCATATTATATTTAAAGTGAGCTTCCACATCACTCTTCACAAGATAGAATGGGCATTCATATGACATTGAAGCTTTTATATTTTTAGTAGAAAAATTTAATCTTTCCCAAGCTTGCAAATTCATCAGTAGGATACAATATGTTAGGTACAGCATTCAGTGAAATGGAATCAATGAAAGAGAAGAGCCAGGCCAGTATCTATTTGTGATTACTAAGCTTTCAGGATTGTTAAGTACATAAATCAGTTTGCTGAAAAATCTAGCTTCCTGAAATAAACCCAAAAATGGAATACATTTGTATTATATATAACTTGAATAGCTGACTCAGTCTGTTATCACTCAGTGTTATCAGTGTCTTGCAAAGTGCTCACTTATTGAACAGCTTAAACATATAGCTTTATGACAGGATATCATTACTGTGATAACAAGATGTTACAAAAGCTTAGCCAGAACAAACAGAAAATATCTACAGTTAACCAAACTAACTAAATCAGCTCTAGAGAAACTAAGCTCTCCAAACTGACCTTAACCTCCTTTAGATTAATTGAATAAGAACCAGATGTAAGAAGGGATTATTCCAGGCAGTAGTATATATAGTTCAACATTCTCTGGTCAATGACAGCAATATCCATTTATTTATGCATTTATATGCTGCCATTAAAAAAAAATAGGTAAATTTTACAATTGTAAAACCAAAAACTAATATTAAAGCTACTGTATATGCTAAAAAATTTAAATCTCTATTTTTATTAAAATTTCAACCTTTCAACACAAATATTTTTTTTCAAATCTATCAGAAAACAAATAAATAAATAAACAAATCAAATAAATTCTAAATAAAGTTTTAAATATATGGAGACATACGTTCCATGATAAACACCACTTTTTAATGGCTGGAATTTTCATGTGTCACAATTCAGCTGCTGGCCTGGAGTGTTGCTACTGTTGTAAACACTGTAAAATACGGGTTACATGTGTAGGGTAGAAGAGGATTGTATTGTAAAGTTTTTATATTTTTTAATGATTGTTATGTAGAGGTTCCCTGAGACCTAAAAATCATATCAAGAACTCCTCTGGGATAAAAAAGTTGAGAAAGGCTGCTCTAAAATATGCTGAATTATCCTGGAATATAATATTTTTCTTAAAACTATAACATGTGAATCCTCATTCATACATGAATTGCTTCAGGCATCAGAGGTTGTGTCAAAAGTATTGTGCTTTGTTGCATGATGATAATTTATTAATTTGTTGCTCTTAATTTCAACCCAGTAGTAGTTTACACATAGTCTGCAACTTACAACCATTCATTTAGTAACCGTTCAAAGACACATCCACGTGAAAAACATAATGACCATGTTCACCCAACCATTGTAGCATCCCCATGGTCACGGGACCAAAATTCAAGCTCTTGGCAATTGGCATGTATTTATGACAGTTTTACTGTTCCAGGATCATGGGATCACCATTTATAACCTTCCCAACCTTTTGACAAGCAGTCAACGGGGGAAGCCAGATTTGATTAATGACCACATGATCCACTTAACTGTTGCAGTGATTTGCTTAACAACACTGGCAAAAAAGTTGTAAAATGAGGCACAACTCACTTAACAACTGCCTTACTTAGCAACAGAAACTTTTGGCTCAATTGTGATTGTAAGTCATGGGCTACCTGCATTATGTGATGTGAAGAGAAGGCAATTATGCATGGATCTAATCCTTGGGAACTCCCATCATATAAGTCCAAGAAGGTCCTATCTCATAGTTTTGAAGGAGTGTGATAACTAAATGTAATGTAAAATCCCCTACTTTTCTCACATTACCCAAATAATTTTAAGAATTTATGGTAGGAATCTTTATCTTTTAAACAAAATGGAGAGAGACAAGGATAACAACTTCGTTATTTATCTAATTCCTACTCAAAGTGCAGAACTTTATCACCCATCTGGATGTCTTCAGTATCCAACTATGGATCTCCTAGCAGAATGTTGTGTTACTTTTAACTACCCTTTAATTCTGGGCAAATTATAGTGACAAATTAAGGCAGCTTTAAGAACAATCAAAAACATTCAAAATGTAAAAAAAAATTAAGTTCTACTGGCAGCTAAAAACTAGTTGGCTCAAAAATCCACATTCTTGAAAATCACAATGAATCAGGGATTTCTAAAGAAAGGAAATTGAAACCTGACAGCGTGATTGTACATATTATTTAGTAACTTAAGGTCAATTGGGTTTATTCCCAAGAAAATAAGTATCAGACTTTTTTAATAGTCAACATTGGGAAGAGGTATCCTGTATACAGTTGTTTGAGAGAGAGAGAGAGAGAGAGAGAGAGAGAGGGAGAGATTCCAGTTCTGCATCTTATTCAGAGTTATGTTGATTAAATTTTATTATTATTATGCTGTATTCATTATAATCATTTTCTGCAAAGCATTTGGCAGTATCAAAAGATGAGATAATTCATCTCTTACAATGTTTATTTACAATTCGGGACACAATGTAAATTTAAATCAAGCAAATATTTAGGATCATGGTAAAACAATGAGGAATCAATTTTCAGTTTTCTCTCGGGGCGTGCAAACCTTCTCTGTTCTAATTCTGGATTTGCAGAATTAGGAGCTCCAGTCCCATTCAATTTATCAGAAGCTCTCATGCCCTCAATGAATCTAATCCAGCTGCAATATTGATTCTCAGTTTCGTGTGCTACTTTTGTAACATACCAATTATTTAACAAGAATAAAAGGAGATTGCCAGAAGTGTCCTATTTCCATTACCCCAGACCTACCACACATATTTAGGCTAGACATTTATCCATGATTAGTGGGAAATAAGTTCCACTGAAGTTAATTGCCATATTGAAGAAGGCTTAGATAGGACAATATCATTCACTTTAAACATATATCATAACAGTCAGAATTTAAGAATTTACTAGCTCAGAAAGGTCCTTCCTTCTCCTTCATAAAAATGCTCCTTAGCCAAAAGTAGACGTAGCCAGTAGTCATCTTAAAAGCTAGTACAAGGCATAATACATATGAAATCAAGAGGACCAAGATAGTATATTTTAATCACATCAGAATCCCAACAGATTCTAAGCAATCTGCTATTAAAAAACTCATAAAGTTGAAGGAGAAGTAGAAATATTTTAGTCTTGCTTGTAAAGTAGATTTTATTTAATGGGCCTGCTTATCTGTTTGTTTGTTCCCTTTGTTTTGTAGATGTATTTCTACTGAATTAACTTTATGTTTTCATGTTTTACTTGAAGCTGTTAACGTTCATAAGCACTATTTGCTATCCTATGAACAAATCCAGGCCAGACTCATCTAAAGGCCAGCAAACAAAGAGACATTCCTGAAATTAACTACTGCCAATACCATATGCATAATGTACTATGTGTACCTTTAGACAAGGTTTTTGCATGAACAAGCTGCCTTATGAAGGATCCAAATAATGACCTGTATTCATAATCTACCATCTTTGTTTAACATTTCCACTATCTAGTCTGCAGCCTTATTCCAACTGAGTCAAGACTACAATTCCCAGAATTCCCTTTGGCCATTTTGATTGAGAATCTTGAAAGTGGCAACCAAGTCAAATAGACTCCTCCAGGTTGGGGAAGGGCATGCGTTCTACCTCTTAAAAGGTATTCCACCTTTATTTATTTTTCCTTCTGAAAAGAAAAAAGGCTACCTTATCCATTCCATTCATACAATTTGGTAAGTGAATCAAGCTATTTTAAATTAAAACTTCATCTGTAAACACCCTCTATGTCAGGGATCTTCAAACTTGGCCCTTTTATGACTTGTGAACTTCAACTCCCAGAATTCCTCAGCCAGCATACTTGGCTGAGGAATTCTGGGAGTTGAAGTCCACAAGTCATAAAAGGGCCAAGTTTGAAGACCCCTGCTCTATGTTCTGTCAGCAAGACATATGTATATACAGGTAGTCCTCAACTTACAACAGTTCATTTAATGACTGTTTGAAGTTACAATGGCACTGAAAAAAGTGACCTGTAATCATTTTTCTTATAACGTATGACCGTTGCATCCTCCTCACAGTCACATGATCAAAATTCAGATACTTGGCAACTGACTCATATTTATGACGGTTACAATGTTCCAGGATCATGTGATCACCTTTTGCATCCTTCTGGCAAGCAAAGTCCACGGGGGAATCCAGATTCACTTAACAAGTGTGTTACTAACTTAACAATTGCAGTGATTCACTTAACAACGGGGGCAAGAAAGGTCGGGAAATGGAGCAAAACTCACTTAGCAAATGTCTCACTTAACAACTGAAATTCTGGCCTCAATTGAGGTCGTAAGTCGAGGACTACCTGGTATGTGGTCAGAGTATAAAATATATATTCTTGCAGCCAACGTTAGGATGATGACAAGTTCCCAGCGCACAAAACAGACCCCTAAATCAGGGAAATGTAAAACCTGCCTCGAGAACGCTCCTCTCTTGCGACGATACGAGGAGGAGAAAGAACGGAAGAAGTCCCAATTGCCCTCGCCACCCCACTCCACCAGAGGAAGAAGTGATAAAGAAAATCCTGGACTGTGCTGAGATGGACAAATTAACAAAAGAGATAAAAGAAAAGGAAGACACAGAATACTATTTAATATGGAACAAGTGGTATGACTGGCTGGAGAGTAGAAATAAGAGAGAATAAATGTGGAAAGGTTAAAAGTGGAAAATGTGTGTATAATAATGTATGAAGGAAGANAGCTGCGGGGATTACAGCATCAGTCCCGCTGCTGCCCAGGTCCTTGCTATCCGGGCCCGGCAGCGGCTCGGTCCCAGATGCCCTCCCGCCTTACCAGGTTCGTGCTCGCCAGGGTTGTCCGAGACCTCGATGACCAGCAACTCCCTGCCCTCGAAGCTGCGGCCCACGGTGTAGATCCTACTGATGGACGGACACTGCAGCCACACCGACACCAGCGCTTCCCGCAGCTCCGGGTAGCGGTGGTACTCGAAGGAGATGCCGTCCTCCTGGCTCAGGCGCCGCCGCCTATTCGCCCCTCCGCCGAGAGCCGCCGGCGTTTCAGGCTCAGTCGCTTCGCTCTCCTGCAGACAGAGGCTGCCCGGCAAGGCGCAGAGCGCCAGCGCCAGCGCCCAAACCCGACCTCGCCCAGCCATGGCTCTACCGCAGCCTCCTCGGCGTGGAAAGGGGGGACGGCGGCGATTCCTGCTGCCAGATCAGCCAGCCGCCTCTCCTCTCCTCCTCCTCTCCGGCGCTCACTGTAGCGAGGCAAGCCGAAGTCGGGCACGCCGCTCCGCTAAGCTAAACCTGCACCATTCAGGAAGGGGAGGCAGAGTCAGATGCGCTTAGCCCTGCAGCCTGCACCACTCGCTCCGGAGATCAGGGGAAGACGCCGGACGTACCACTTTCCACGTAGGGGATGCTGGGTGACGTCCTGCCACGCAAGTGTCGATCTGGGAGCTGCGTGGGAGCGCTGAGCGTTCTTCTCGCCAAGCGCATCCCTTTACTAGGCGCTCTTCAGGCTCGAACGAGGCCCGTTCAAGATACGGCGTCGTGCCGCATCATCTCTTTCTCATGCCAATTATGGTGCCGCCGACAAACCTATTACATAGGAATGGAGGCTTGTTTAACGTTTGGAGGACATAAGGAAGCCGGCCTGGCAGAGCCCTTTAATCCAAATGCCTTTAAATTGGATAGCAGTGACAGGGCATCTTAATGCATGCCCACGATGGCTCTTGTCTGCCCAAACCTATGCCCTAACTAGAGCTCTATGTTAGTTATGATACCACATAGACCAGTTATTTCCACCTACACAAAAGCATATTGTTTTACATGGTGGGCTTTGTTTTGTTTTGACATTGGAGGTCAATTGTTCGATAAAGTATTCAAAATTATTTCCATCTTAAAAAGTACACCCTGCTAGCAAAAAGTAAGCATTGTCAAGATCTTCTTCTTCTTGTGCCATATCCATTATCGGATGTTGGCGATCATGTTGGCGATCCTGTTTTTATCAGCAGCTGCACGAAAAAGTGCTGCTGAGTTTTGTCCAAAGCAGTCCCTTAGATTTTGAAGTCACGGTGTTCTTCTACTGTCTGGACCTCGTTTGCCTTCAGTCGTTCCCTGGAGGATTAAATGGAGTATGCCGTATTTTTCTGGGTGTCGCATCACATGTCCGAAATATTCTAATTTTCGTTTTTTAATTGTTTTGATGATTTCCTTTGGCTTTCCCAGGTGGCGTATCACCTCCTCATTTCTGATCTTGTCAACCCAGCTTATACGTAACAGCCGCCTGTAAATCCACATTTCAAATGCTTCTAGTCTCTTCAGGTGGCCTTTTGTCAGATACCAACTCTCTACTCCATAGAGCAGGATAGAAAAAATATAGCATCTGACAAGCCTGATTTTCAGGCTTATGTCGTGACTGCAGAAGACCTTTTTCATTTTGAAGAATGCTATTCGGGCTTTTTCTATCCTTGTCTTTACTTCAATGGTCATGTCCCAGCTTTCATGTAACTTAGAACTGAGGTGCATGATCCTTTCAACTTTTTCTAGTGGTATTCCTTCTGAATTTATTGGTGGTAAATTAACGGGTTGTTTGCTGACGACCATGATCTTGGTTTTTGAGGTGTTAAGCTTCAAGCCATATTTTTCAGATATTTCTGTGACTCTGTTGATGAGGAGCTGAAGGTCTTCATGCTTACTGGCAAGCAGAACTGTATCATCAACATATCTTAAGTTTTTGATCCAAACACCGTTTACTTTGATGCCAGGATCGATGTTCTCCAGTGCCTCGTTGAAGATCGACTCAGAGTAGATATTGAACAACAATGGAGACAGAATACATCCCTGTCTGACCCCTCTTCTTATTTCTGCATCAGCTAAGTATTTTTGGCCTAGTCTCACATTTGCTACCTGATGCCAATACTGATTCTTTATTATTTGGATGTCTTTGTCATCTAGTCCCCCTTGTTTCAGGATTTCTAATAGTTTGCTGTGTCTTATTTTATCAAAAGCTTTTTCGAAATCAATGAAGCACATGTAAACACTGTGATTGACATCTCTACAACGCTGTACAAGAACCTGAATGCTGAACAGCGCATTTTGTGTACCAAGATTGTTTCTGAAATCGTGTGTTACCTAGACGCTCTTCAGTTTTGTTGTATATTCTTGTGTGAATTATTCTCAGGAATATTTTCAGAGCATGACTCATTAAGCTTATTGTTCTGTATTCGGTACACTTCTTTGCATTTTTTTTTTAGGGATTGTCACAAAGGTTGATTTTAGCCCAGTGGTTCTCAACCTGTGGGTCGGGACCCCACTTGGGGTCAATCGACCATTTCATGGGGGTCGCCAAGCAAGGCTGTCTGCCATTTTTTTGTCCATTTTTTTTGTCCGCCATTTTTTCCCCCTTTTCCAGCGGGTGCCTTACCTCCCTTGGGCTGGGCCAGCTGGTGGTCGGCCTGCTCCATCTCTGCCGCTTGCCAGCTACGCCTCAGCTGGCGCAGGGGGCGGAACCACGCATGCGCGGCGCTCCCGGGCAGGGAAAGTCCTCGACTTACGACCGGTTGGGTAGTCCTCGACTTACGACCAGTTTAGTCCTCGACTTACCACCGGTTTAGTCCTCGACTTATGACTGGTTTAGTCCTCGACTTACGACCGGTTGGGGTCGCGGCATTAAAAAGGTTGAGAACCACTGATTTAGCCAATCATTTGGTATCTTTCCTGTTTTATATATCTGATTGAAGAGCTGCAGTAAAAATAGTAGAGCTGAATTCTTCTCTCCTGGTATATGCTTTTGATTCCATTCCAGAGCATTTTACTGGGGTTTAAAAAATGAGTTTAAGCAGCCACTCGAGGGGAATTAATCACAGAAACAATGAAGAAAGGTTAAATTTCCATCTCTTTCCAACTCTTTTTGATATTAGAATCTAATCTTTTCCAGTTTTACATTATATGTGATGATTGATAATATAAGTTTAGGCCAAAGCTCTTCCCTCCTTAGTTTTGCTGAAACTCTTAAAAATAATTACAAGTTCTACATAAAGGCCTCCAATAGTTTAGAGCTAACTAGACATCACAACAGGAACAGATGCTGCTGTTCAAAAGCCTTGGTTTGTGTTTGTACAAAGACCAGTATGAGAAATAGAAAATAATAAGGCCGTGTTTAGTCTGTTTCCAATATATATTTAATACTGGATCAGTTACACAAAATACTCATTTGGAGTATTAATTCATTTATTAATATTTGTTATTGTTTGGTGTTTATTATGCTGTAGGAGGACACACACACCCGAGAAAGATGACCCCCCCACAACTTTTGGAAGCAGAGCACACTGACCCAGACGCTGCCTCCATTCATTTGAGCCATGGAATTGAATCCAACCATCCACTAGAAAGTCACCATGCAACCAGAGTGTAACAGATCTTCCCAAGCCCTACATCACCCAGATGCCTATGAAAGCTGCAGAGAAAGGACAGACTCCTGGAGCCATTGGCCCCCAGGTGAAGCCTCAGAAGACAACTGGAAGGACTATGGGGGGAGGGTGGAAAATCATTGCAAGGTTTTCTTTCTTGTCTCATTTGTATTGTAAGTAGCCAGTTGAATGGATTCATGGAGGGATGGCATTTGGAATGGTTGGCAAAGCAAGTCCTGAACATCTTGGACTTCCATCTAGTGGGAGGAAAATTTGTCCAGGATGTTTGCATTGCATGTCTTGTAGAAGAAGCTGCACGCACACACACACACACACACACACCATTCAAAATCACCTACCTTCAGTAAAGACCCTCAAGCTGGTTATTGCTCTGTGGCACTAAGGCTTTTGCATGCATACCTTCCTGCAAATTCCATGGGTGAGGGAACCAGGCACCCTCAGGTAATTTACAATTCATATGTCCTCACTGAGAAGGTAGCGAGAAAGAAATCTCCAAACCCAAACCCTGAATATGTTGCACTGGTGGACTCAGAGTGAGAGTCCTAGGGCTCATTGTGTGCAATTTAAAAAATATTAACAAGCCTGGTTTGCACTCTGGCTAACCTTAATTGGACATCACAAGCCTGGATGCACTAAACTAAGACCTAAGGCAGGAAGCAACCCTTGAAAATGGGTTCTCGTCCGTTTTCCTGCTGTAACTGCTGTATGTTGGAGTTTGCTGTGTATGTATTTGTGTATATTTGTAGATAGTGTAATATAAACCACCATTTAATCAGTGGGGGGATTCAAATATGTGAACAACTGGTTCTCTATGTGGATGCCACTTCCAGAAGTCCATTCTGGGCCTGGGCAACAAAAAATTAGCTACCGGTTCTGCCAAACTGGTGCGAACTTTCTGAATCCCACCACTGCATTTAATACAAACCACTGTTTACTGTATTTACTCCTGGTTTACCTCAGTACAATAAGACTGTGCATGCTCTGACACAACATCTGAAAGGAATTGGCACAGAACATTGGACACTATAAATTTCTTTTTGCCCTGGCTCTAGACCGTCATGGTTGAAAGCTTCTCCTTTTGGGAGCCACTGCAGGGATCTTTTTCTGCTGCCTCTAATAGTATCTTCCCTTTCTGCATTAACAGTTTAAAAGCTTGTTTTCCCACATCCTAGACCCCCATAGAAGCACCCATCCAGTCTCCCTAACCAGATCAATTTCTAATTTTGTGCCAGTAAAAGTGTGTCACCCACACATATAAAGCACAAAGGGGAGATTGTAGGAAGCCTACGCCCCCAGAGAAAGAAATATTTTGAGGAATATTAAAAAGGCAGAATATTGTATTTCCCCAAAGGAATAATGCAAAATATCTTAAAAAGCAGAAACTTCTCCCTTTCCTCCAGCCAGAAACTCAGCAGGCCAGGTCTGTAGAAATGCAGATTTGATAATCCTTTCAGAAAGACCGGAGCCAGGAAGCTTGGAGCTGATGGGATTAGAAAGATAAGGACCCCTAGAACCAGCAATCCCTCACCCAAAAATCCAACACAGGACATAGCCATCAGCCACAACCCAAGGGAAGCAGAACATGACCTTTAGGACATAATAGGATTAACCCATCACCATTAGAATATTAAAAGGACACGCTCAAAAGCTCAGGTCAAAATTCATGGCACAGGAACAGGAACAACTCCAAACACAAAAGCCCAAGAAGGTATAAAACCCACCACTCCCAGCACCATGTGGTC